CGGGGCTCCGGGGAGCGCGGAGAGTGCTGGGCGCTCCCTTGGTGGTGGGTCTCCTCCGGCCGCCGCTCCAGCCGCCGCCGCCCCCGCCCCTCGCCCCCAGCCGCCGCCAGGATTCCCTCGCTCCGGTTGTTATGGTGACAGCTGCGCTGGTGAATGAGCGTCTTAGTGACACGCGCGCGCCCTCTCAGCCAGTTGTGGCTCCAGGGCGCGCCGCTTCCCGGCTGCCCGGAGCTCTTCCTCGGGGCGCTGGGGAATGAGGAGGGTGCCGGGCCCAGGTCGGGGTAAGATATGGGGCAGAGGTGGGGCTCCAGGGCTGGGCTTATCCCTCTCACGGACAGTGGAACGCGGTCTTGAAAAGGAGAACCGGTACAGCAAGAACATTGAGCTCCCCGGTGCCAGGCGCAGTGAGAAAGCTCTAATTTACCGTACCGTTTCCCCACACCAAGTACAGGGCCTGGCACATAGTGAAAGCTCAAGAAAAATAATTTTTTAAATGATTGAATGGATGATTGAATAAATGAAGTGAGAGTAGGAACCCTGGCATTTGACCCTCCACTCTTACTCACATCTGAAGGGGCAAGGGCTCAGAACACGAACCCCAGGCTGTCCAGCTACTGGACACAGCGTTGGGGGCCTTTGGGTGAATACAGACTGGACCAAAGAGACTAGGTTGCAGGCCAAGCTGGGGAAACAGACATCAGGGACAAATCATCAGAGAACCAACTCTGAACTGAGTGGTTCTGTCAGCCATAAGAGCTTGGGAGAGAGGGACCTCTGTGGCCTGGAGCAGTCAGGGGAGGCTTTCTGGAGGAGGGGGCGTCAGCAAGTCTCTCCTGTTCACTGTGACTCTTCCATCCTGTGACTCAACACTGCTCCCAGGAGGCCTGCAGGAAGGGAAGAGGGAGTCATTCTCCTACCTGTATATGGGACATCTCCCTCTCCCGGTCCATCAGAGGTAGATGAGCCGAGCTCTCCCCCTTTGCCCCCACACCACTCCACCCAGAGAGACTCTGCTTTCCTGCTCCTCTAGGTCACCTCTAGCCCTGAATCAGTGAGGACATGGGCTAGCAACAGGCATCTCATCCATCCCGTTATGGAAGGTTCTTCCCTCAAGTCTCCATGTGATGGCTCCTCGTTATTCAGACAAACCCCCTGACCTTCCCCAGCTACAGAACCCCGCCACTCTCCATCACTTCCCATGCCATTCTTCGGCTTCATTTTCTAGAATTAGTTTGAAAGCAGCCATTCCCCCTTGTTTGTGTTCTGCCTCCCACACTAGAACATAAGCTCTGTGAGGGGAGGGAGAGAGCAGGTCAACTCCATTCCCCATACCTCCCCAGTCCCGAGGGGAGTGCCTGGCACAGGACAGACTATCAAGAAGTATTTGTGGCCCTGACCGGTTTGGCTCAGTGGATAGAGTGTCGGCCTGCGGAATCAAGGGTCCCAGGTTCGATTCCAGTCAAGGGCATGTACCTTGGTTGTGGGCGCATCCCCAGTGGGGAGTGTGCACGAGGCAGCTGATCGATGTTTCTCTCTCATCGATGTTTCTAACTATCCCTCTCCCTTCCTCTCTGTAAAAAATCAATAAAATATATTTTTTTAAAAAAGAAGTATTTGTGGAATGGATGAATCCCCCTGCTTGCCAGCAGAACTCCACTAAGATCCCTGGGAGAAAAGCCTCTGAACCGAACGGCCCTTTATCTGCCTCCCCGGCCCTCCACCCCACCCTATGTCAGGCATCTCATCCTTAAATGTCTGGGACTCCAGGGGAGCTAGAAATACCCATGACAGCTGCTCTCTGGGGTCTGGAGGAAAAGACAGCCCCCTCCCCCACCTCCAGCCTCTCAGATGCCCAGGATCATGTGCCCAGCCAGCTGCAGAATGGACATGGCAGGTCAGGGGTGCTGTCTTATTTATGGGCGTATCTTCCCGAGGCTCACTCCTAACCGATGACTCATGCGTCAGAAATCCTTGGGCTCTGAATAGCAGCACACTCACACATTTGCACACACACCTCTACACTCTCTTGCACACTCACTTCTACACAAGCCGGTACACACACTCACGCACACTCATGTCTCCCCAGGAAGTCTGCTGGAATGAGGTCACTGGGAGTTGCTGCTGGCATCACAATAAATCTGAAGGCTCTGTACAGACGAGACTAATTGCCTTGGAGTGTGTGTGTGTGTGTGTGTGTGTGTGTGTGTGAAGTGTGAGGCCCCTGGTAGGATTTGCAGGCAGTGGCTGAGGGGAGGCTCAGGCCCTCCCTGGAGTCCCACCCTCCCTTCAGGGAGGAGGAGCTAGAACCTGGGTCAGGGGATGGTGGGGAGTGAGGCCCCCAAAGTAGAGGACAGCAGAAATATGACAGACCCACATGGTCTAAACCTGGAGCTATGGGCAAAGCAAGGGAGAGATGGAGAAGGTCACAGAGAAGTGAGAGCCTGAGGAGTCCAGAGACAGCAACAAGCCCTACAGCTCAGGGCAGCCTGAAACCAGGGGCCCCGAAGGAAGGTGAGAGGCATTAGGGTCCGAGGCAGAGAGCTTAGGACAGGATAGACACTTCCCCTAACCCAAGAGGGTTCAGGAGACACTGGGAGTATCCACAAGGCTGGGATTTCTTTTTTTAATGATTTTTAGAGAGAGGAAGGGAGAGGGATAGAGAGATAGAAACATCGATAAGAGAGAGGAACATCATCAATTGGCTGCCTCCTACATGCACCCCACTGGGGTTTGAGCCCACAACCTGGGCATGTGCCCTGACTGGGAATCGAACCGGTGACCTCTTGGTTCCTGGGTCGACACTCAACTGCTGCACCACACCAGCTGGGCCAGGGCGGGGATTAGGATGAGGCAAGGGAGGCGCCTCTGGTGTAAGATGTGAGGAGCCCCAGGCCCTCAGGGTCATGCAGGGCCAACCCTGCCCTTGCTCCAGCCTGAGGAGGAGTGCCTCTGCCATGCTGCACAGCGGGAACCTCCCTAGTCTGGCCCTAGCCCTTCCAGGGAGCTATGTACTATGGGAGGGGCCACCACTGTCAAGTGTCAACTGGGTGCAAGTCTCTGGCCAGGCCAGGCCAGGTCCTAGAAAAGGTGATGTGACTGCCTGGGGCCCAGAGAACCCAAGAGTGGCCCCTCTGAGGGGTCCTGTGCCTCAGAAACCCTTTCCAGGGGCTGTGGTTAGACCCAGCTTAGAGAAGCAAATAACCCAGCACTCTTCTCCCCCCTCATCTTCTACCCCAAACACACACACACACACACACACACACACACACACACACACTGGGCAGAATCCCAGAGGCCTTCAAGCCATTCCCCAAGGGGGCTGCCAGCAGGCAGGGAAGTGGCCTTCGCGCCCTGAGAGCCCTTCCCAGCCTCATCCTGGAAGGGAGGAGGGAAAAAGGACTTGCCAGGGAGACAGGGGCTGGATGAAGTCACCCTTTTGCTGGCTTCAATGGAAACTATTAATACCCATAAGGTGGTACTCCAGTACCTGTCACCATGGCAACCCCACCTCCTTAGTAGTGTGGATTCTGAAGGCGGTGCCTATGGAAGCAGATGAGTGTGAGTGCAACAACGTGTTTGAGTGTGTATACACGTGTGTCCTGGTGTGTACATGTGTGAGTGCTCTGAGCACTCACACCAGCGTGCAGGGGAGAGATGACCCCAGCAAGGACCCAGAGAGAACCTGCAGGGGCTCCTTCAGCAGCAGCTCTGGCCTCCATTTTTTCTTCTTTCTCCCTCTCTTCTCTCCCTTCTGGCTAACTCCATTCATTCTCATTCTCTCTCTCTCTC